TTCCTTCCTTCCTTCCTTCCTTCCTTCCTTCCTTCCTTCCTTCCTTCCTTCCTTCCTTCCACAAATAATGACCAAGTACCTACTTTTTGCAGACATGGCTCTGATAAGGACCACAATAAACAACCACTGAGACTCCCACCATATACGAACCTCAATCACTGCAACAGAACGTAAACTGCACATGGAGTTTGAGGCCCCAGATCCCACTTGTTTTTTGCTGAAGGCAATTCCACTGTGTAAAAAGAGACAGATGTGCACATGACCATCCTTGACTCTAAGACTATTTACTTATTTCAAACTTATTTGAGCAGAAGAACACAGATTTTAGGATGGCAAAGCATGGAGGGAATATGGAGGTCATTTCATCCAGTTATTTTCTAGAGGAAAACTGAGGCCGAGACAGGAGGTGTTGACTTGACCTGCCATTTACTATCTATGTGACATTAGGTAAACCATTGCATCTCCTGACTCCAGATCTCTCCCCTTTCTTCATCTTTAAAATGGGGTGGTTGCATTAAATGGCTTCCAAGGTCTCTCCCAGCTCTGGTTTACCTGGTTTTCTTTCTTCAACTCTCAAATTCCATCTTCTGCAAGAACCACAAGCCTCTCACTCTGTCTCTACTGCTAATGCCTTCCCTCTAAAATTACCTCCTATCTACTCTGTATATATCTAGTATGAGAGAGAAGAAGAAGAAGAAGAAGAAGAAGAAGAAGAAGAAGAAGAAGAAGAAGAAGAAGAAGAAGAAGAAGAAGGAGGGGGGGGGGGGGGGGGGGGGGGGGGGGGGGGGGGGGGGGGGAGGAGGAGGAGGAAAGATGAAGGAAAGAAGGAAGAAAAAAGGAAACAGAGAGGGAGAAAGAAAATTAGGAAAATAAGATAGAAGAAAGAAAGAAAGAAAGAGAGAGAGAGAAAGAAAGAAAGAAAGAAAGAAAGAAAGAAAGAAAGAAAGAAAGAAAGAAAGAAAGAAAGAAAGAAAGAAAGAAAGAAAGAAAGAAAGAAAGAAAGAAAGAAAGAAAGAAAGGAAGGAAGGAAGGAAGGAAGGAAGGAAGGAAGGAAGGAAGGAAGGGAGAAGGGGAGAAAGAGAGAAAGGAAGAAAGGAAAGAAAGAAGAGAGGTAAGGAGGATTGAAGGAAGAAAGAGAAAAGAAGAAAGGGAGGGAGGGAACGAGGGAGAGAGAAAATAAGGAAAAAAAGAAAGGAGGGACAGAGAAAGGAAACAAGAAAAGACATACAGAGATAGGTAAAGATGTGTGTGCGTGTGTGTGTTTCACCAAAAATTTCTCCTATTTCTGGTAACACTGGTTTACCAAGTGCTTATTGCACCCAACAGTCAAGTGAAGTAATTAGTACAGCCATAGTTAATTCCATTTTACAGACGAGAAAATTGAGATTTGTAGACATTAAATGACTTGTACAAAGCCCATACAGTTAATAAAAGAACCCAGATCTTTAGTGTCTCCTATTCTTCCTCCTGTACAGTATTTCCCATAACAGCATGTTGTACTTATGTGGCATGATGACTAGAACACTGGGGCTGGAGTCAGGAAGACCTGAGTTCAAATTGGACCTCAAAAATCTACTAACTCTATGATTTTGGGCAAGTGACTTAAACCTCTGTTTGTCTCAGTTTTGTCATCTACAAAATGGAGATAATAATAGCACCTACCCACCAGGGGTGTTGTGAGGATCAAATGAGATAACGGTTGTAAAGAACTTAGCCCCAGTGTCTGGCACATGGTAGGTGCTACATACATGTTAGCTGATGGTGATATATGATGATGATGCTGATGAAATAGATGAGGGAGGCCCAGCAAATTTAAGTGACTTATTCATTATCACAAAGGTAGTAACCATTAGAGGTAAGAGTGGAAACCAGGTTCTATAACTCTACATTCATTGTCCTTTCTCCCATACCTCCTGGTCATCCACAGGGTAATTGATAAGGCAATGGGGTGTAATGGAAGGGCATTAACTTTAGAATCATGGGACCGAACCTGGATTCAAATCTTCCCTCTGTTGATTACTTCCGACATGATTTTGAGCAAGTCATTGGACCTTTCCTCATCTAGATTTCAAAATCCTGTGCCATCTCAAAAGTTATAGGCATATTTAGGACCCTCCTGCCCTCTGAACACAAGCCCCAAGAGTCATGGTAACCTCAGAAGCCCAGCCCCCAGGAGTCACTGTGATGCTCATGATAGAGGCCTCCTAGGATTCCACACCTGAAGGTAACATCCCCTTCCCATTCATTCTGCTAAGTCTTCCAAACCCAAAGAGAGGAGGTTCAAATGTCAGAATAAGAGGCATTGTGAAGGATTGGAGAGAAGCCCTGTGGGGGTGGGGCTTGTCATCTCTGAGCAGCCCTGACACAATCCGCCCTCACCTGAGCAGCTGAGCATGGTCATGCTTCTTTCCCTTCCATCCGCTGTGCCAGTTCAAGAATTTGTTGAAGGTACTCTGTGCATGTGGTACCACCTTAATCTTATCAGTATCTGACCAGATCTCCATGCCCACCAAGGCCACGTGAACATCCAAGGTATTATAGATCTGTGGAAAGAGTGAAGAATTTAGGACTGAGAAGCCAGGGGACTCACCTATTTCCACAGATCTGGGCATCCACAAATCATGGGCAACCTGTCCCATTGAAAACAAGCATCAGGGAAAATGGAAAAAAAAGTTGCCTTCAGCCTGTATGGTGGTAGCTGGCTTCCTATCTCTAAGTGGACAGAGAAACTGAAATCGTTGAATTGAGCCATTGGATTCTTATCATTTTAAAGAAGTTTTCGGCAAATCCCAATCATTTCTCTGTTTCTGTCTCTCTCTTTGTTTCCCTCTCTCTCCCCGGCCCTCACCCATGGTCTTAGTTTTTTCTTTGTTTGTTTTCTGTTCCTTACACACGACTCTCTATCTTCTCTCTCCAAGTCTTTGCACTGATCCACATGCCTGAAAGTGCACTCCCTCTTTACCCCCATGATACAGTTCACATACCATCTTCTTCGACATGCAGCCTTCTGTGATCCCACCCCCACCCCACTGCTCATGCCCTGCCTTCCAAACTATATTGTATTTAACACGCTTGGTTAGATTTCCATTTATTAACTATAATTATGCAATAAATTTGATCTAGCTACTTGTTTTATTTCCCATTGGGATGAACTTTTTCTTTTGTATTCCCAGAGTCCAGCATAGCTATGGCATACAGCAGGTATTTAATAAATACTTGTGGATTAATTGAGCAAAACTACTCAGAAAGCCCCAAACTGGGAGTTGGGGTTCCAAAGGCAAAACAGGAACAAAAACAAAAAAAAAACAGACCTTGTTTCCAAGAGCCGACCTTCTCCTGGTGTTGGGGTAAAGGGTGAGACACTTATAAACATTAGTGCATATAAAGTCATTTGAGGAAGCAGAAAATGCTTTGGGGGTGATGCTCTCTGGACAAGTGGCTGGCCTTGCAAGGCTGCTGCTGTGTGCATTAGGTAAGAGAAGGAATCTACAGTGTCTAGCAAAACATAAAATGCTATGTAAATAATGTCAATTATTACTGACTATATACATATTTAGTACATTATTAATAATTGCAGTGAATAATGAAATTATGTCTGTAGGTAATGCTCTCAGTCTTGGGGGTATATGGGTCATGTGTGGGGATGCTCATACCATTGAGATCATTGAGAGTAGAGATTGTTTTATCATTTGGATGAAGAAAGCCAGGTGGTGCAGTAGATACAGCATTGGGCCTGGAGCCAGGAAGATCAGGGCTCTAATTTGATTTCAGACACTAACTATCTGTGTGATTCTGGGCCAGTCACTTAATCTCTGTTTGCCCCAGTTTTTCTTATCATAATATGTGTTTATTACATATACATATGAAACATGTACAGTATATGCATACCATATGATACATATATGTACACATACATTTATGCATACATATGTGCATGAACACATACTGTTTAACTTTGGAGAAGTAACACATCTTCCTCAGAAAACAGAGACAGAGAAGTGAGTGGAAGACAGAATCAAGTGGTTTTGAGGGACAGAATAAGGGACACTGCAAAGCTCATGCCAAATAGCCTCTATTTTTCACTAAAGACGAGCAATTAGGAAAGAATAAGTGGCAAGGAAGGTTAAATTGAGATTATAGATGGTTAACTATGACCCTGCAGCTCAGTTAGCATAATTGTGTGGCTTCCTTCAGCCTTAGATGACAGTACATGAATTGGGACAGAATAAGGGCATAGTGGGTCAATTTTGCCTCAATTTTCTTAAATGGTGATAGCAAATACACTGGCCTCCCAGGCTGATTTTGAGGATCAAATGAGATAATATTTACAAAGCACTTAGTACAGTACCTGGTACATAGTAGGTGCTTAATAAATCCTCATTTGCTCTCATCCTTCTTTACATGTGCATTCCCATAGTTTATCACATTGTCAGACACATTACAGGTGCTTATTAAAGGCTTGCTGATATATTAAATGATAGAGTCATTGAAATATTTGGGTAAAATTGAATGGTGTCTTCTGCACCTTCTTCCAAGGATAGTTGTTTCAAAATGCCCTGGATAGGTAATAGGAGACTGAGACAGACTCCTTGATTCTATTAAATTCTTCTTCTTGGGTTCTCCCTTCTTGGTCAGATATTCATCAGAAAATCCCAGAATCCAATATGGAGACAACTTACCCAGGGGAGGGGAAACTCACCACATTGAGGAGGTTGACCACATTGAAAAGAAAATTTCTTATTGAGGTCTGATTTCCTTTGTGCATATCATACTAAAAATAGAATAGGTAAAATCATGATTAACACAACAATGAAAAGAAGATACCAAAGAGGAGGGAGGGATACAATGGACTAGGTCTTCCTATTGTCCCCCAAGTAAAGTTTCTACTTGGGATTCAAGGCTTTTCACAGTCTGGCTTCATCCTATCCATCGGATCATAGCTTTTTGTTGTTCACTTGTTTCAGTTGCTTCTACCTCTTCATGACATCATTTGTGGTTTTCTTGGCAGAGATATTGGAGTGGTTTACAGTTTCCTTCTCCAGCTCGTTTTACAGATGAGGAACTGAGGCAAGGAGGGTAAAGTGACTTGTCCATGGTCACACAGTTAGTAAGTATTTGAGGCTGGAATGAACTCAGCAAGTTGAGGCCTCTGGACTCCAGGACCAGCACTTTATCCATGGTGAGATCTAGCTGCCCCTGGCTCATAAACTATAGGACCATAGACTTAGAGCTGAAAGGCACAGAGGTGTTATTTACTCCCAACTCCAGCCAACCCTTAAATCCCTCACCTTCCTCCTTTTACAAATGAAGAAACTAAGTCAGAGAGGTTAAGTTGACTTGTCTAGAATCACACAGTTATCAGGTGTCTGAAGGGCAGCTAGGAGGCATAGTTGATGGAGTGTTGGGTCTAGAGTCCGGACAACTCATCTTCTTTAGTTCAAATCTGGCCTCAGACACTTATTAGCAGTGTGACCATGGGCAGATCACTTCACCCTATTTGCCTCAGTTTCCTCATCTGTAAAATGAGCTGGAGAAGGAAATGTAAACCACTCTAGTTTCTGCCAAGAAAACCCCAAATGAGGTCATGAAGAGTCAGACATGACTGAGATAACTTGCTGACACTAACTCCAATTTCTAGCTAAAGCCCTAGTCCAACACACATAGCATACAATGTCCAACCATTGTATCCTAGTCTTGGGTCATATTATTCTAGTCGTCACACTCTACTGTGTGTTCCAGTCAAACTGAACTATTCTCTGTCCTGCTTGTGCTATCTCATCTCTATACCTCTACTGAGCTGCAGAATGAGTTTCTGTTAGCTAAAATGTAAACTCTATGAAGGCAGGAACCATGACTTAGCTAAACTTTATACTCCTCCCCCCTTTGCCCTAGCACAGCATTCTGCCCACAGTAAGTGCTTAACGATAAATTGTGGTTGAATTTTTGAGTATATTGGACTATTGATCCTATGAAATTCACTTGTATTTCCAAGTCATCACTATTTTCATCCATCCAATAGGGGCTAGAATAATGTAGATGTCTCTTTCAGTTCAACCTCTCTATATTGGAATAGAGTTTTATTATTAAAAAAACCAATTAGTATTTTTGAAAGAGATAATATACTTTCATATATTTGAAAACTCAGCGGTCAAGGGATTATATTTGATTCTTCTAAATATTTCAAAAGTCATGAATTAATTAGCCCATATCGCCCACTCCCATGTTCCCCATTATAGAGATTGGTTTCTGTAGTTCTCATGAGGACTGGAAAGAGTTAAATCCTGACTCTTTTACTATTGGAAAGTTGAAATTTCAAGAAACTCTTGATTTTGTATTTGCAAAGGAACGACCATTCAATTTTTTTTTAGAAACAATAATAGCTCAAATAATGTGACACTAGTTGTCAATTGAAGAACAAAACATCACAGAATCATATAATCTCCATTAGAAGGAACTTTGGAGCCACTGAGCCCAAGCCATACCTGAAAAAAACAATCCTCCTACAAGACACTTGTTAAGGGATCATCCAGGCTGGAAGACCTTCCATAAGGGTGATGCCTTCATGCCTTTAGGCAGCTCATTCCACTCAGCTCTAATTGTTTGGAGCTACTTTGTGAGATCTGGCCTAAATTGGTCCCTTTCCATCCACTGCTCCTGGTTCTGCAACTCTGGGGTCAGCTGAACCAGATCAATTGAATGCCTCTCTTGTATAACAGTGTTCATCCCTCCTCTGCCTTCTTCTCCAGGATAAACACCCCCGGTTATTTCAATTGTTTCTCACATAGAAGGAACTCCAGGCTCTTCCCCATCCTCCTCACTCTCTGCTGAAAGCTGCTCAGTTTGTTAATGTCCTTGCTGGACTTGAGAGTGAGAATGCAACCCAGCAGTCGGATGTGTTCTGAGCATGGCAAAGTATCACTGTGCTATAACTTCCTGGGAATATAATGTTGTAATGTCCTGTAAAGTATAAAGAACTGACTTTGTATCCAGAAAGACCTGTGCTCAAGTTTCAACTCTGACATATACAGCTGTGGGACCCTGGGTGAGGCACTTGACCTACTAAAGCTTGGGGAGCTTTCAGACTATATAGATTGGAGTGATTAGATTTACCTGCATTGGTAAATGGAGTCTCTTCATCTGGGAGTTCTCTTTACCAATGAAATCACAATCTTTATCTCAATAATCTTTGTATTCTGTTCCACTATTCCTCTTATAAAGATTAAAACGTTAGCCCTTCTCATTACTATATACCACACTGTTGATTCTTAATGAGGACGCTGGTCAAAGTTGGCTAAGAAACATTAATATCTTTATACTTACAAAAGCTTTATCCAGGACCAAGAAAAGTCTGATATATTTTGGAGATGTAAGAAAATTCTGTTGGTATTAAGAACAAACAAATTGAAAGAAAGACTCAAAATATGAATTATTGATCTGATGAATATCTATATTGATATTAAGTGGGAAGGGACTCAGAAGATGAGAAATGAGTCGGGGCAAAACAACCCTCAGAAGTCATTCAAATAGCCAGCATTTCATAGAACTACCATCTGGGTTGTTAAAAACAAACAAACAAACAAAAAAAAACACAACACAATGCTGAAGAGGCCATTGTGGGGAGAGGGTGAGGGACATATGAATATCTCATTATGAAAGGTGGGCTCACATTTAGGTCAGAGATTGCTCTAGGGTTCCGGGTGAGGATGTGCTTCTGGTCTGAGCTCTTTACTCCACAGGTCTGGTTTGTGGGGTCCACATAGTCATATTTCAGGATGGCATGTGCCTCTTTCTTGCCACCTTTCAGAGGCTCTATTAGGTAGCTTTGATTACGGTGCTTGAAGAAGCCCCTGGGAGATAGGAGAGGAAAGAATGCAAGGCTGGCTTCTTTAATAGAGATGCAAACAGCAAGCCAAGAACCAAAGGTGAGGCATCATATCACATGCCAGGTGCAAACAGGACAGAAGGCTCCCTCAGGCCAAGTTTTAAAAATGTATTCATTAGAAGAGGGGAAGGAGGAGGGGAGGGAGGAAGAGAAGAGGGAGGAAGGAGGAGGGAGGGAGGGAGGAAGAGGAGGAGAAGGAGAAGGAGGAGGAGGAGGGGAGGAGGAGGAGGAGGAGGAGGAGGAGGAGGAGGAGAAGGAGGAGAAGGAGGAGGAGGAGGAGGGGGAGGAGGAGGGTAGAGAATTCAAAGCCTGGGATACAAGGCTTCAGTAGGGGAAAGACACTATGGCCTTTTCTAGGAGGCTCCTGTTAAGGCAGTATTGAGTCTGGGGACAGCTTCTTAGGTTTTGTGGTTGGTCATAATGGGAGGAAGTTAACAGATGGGAGGGAGCTGTCCATCCTGTTGCTTCCTATTTTAGCAAATGATTCCTGTTAACTAAACTTAGTTGTTTCTACTGATTGAAGGAACAGTAGCTTATTATCCACTCTTCTCTCTAAATTCTGATGTCCTAGGGCAAAACCCAGGTTGTCCAACTCAGGTAATAGCCAGGGTCTTTAAGTGGAGTTAACAAATCTCATTAATTAGGGTCCTGTCTATGGAAAACTGAAAGTTATATTAATAAATGATATGTACTAAATAAAATATATCATATGCACACATATAATGATATTCCTATCTGGCATAAAATAATAACATGATTCTATATCATATACATGATATAGAATCATATAGTTATATACGTCATTCATGTATGACATATAGAATAATTATATATTATATATTATACATATATGATTGTATGCTATATATTTATATATGCTATATATTTATAATATGTCACACATATATAATATATGGTTCATATGTTGTAACTCCACCCTTTTCTCTGCCTCAATCGTTAATCAATAAACATTTATTAAGCACCTGCTTTGTGCCATTCACTGGGAATACTAGTAAAAAATGAAAATCTGAGCTCAGGAGTTTACATTTTATGGAGGAAGACAAGCCAGAAGGATATAAAAAATTAGATGTGAGCAGCTCGAAGAAGGCAGGGACTGCTTTCTATTTTAGTACAGTGCTTTTCACACAGTAAGTGTTTAATAAATGCTTGTTGGACTAGGGCTTGCAGCAGTGCTGAGCCTGACTGTTGGAGGTTCTCACCTCAGCCCCCCACACAGACTGAGGCTGGCCACAGAGTCTTTCTCATTCAAGATGTGACCTTGGTAATAACAGCGTTCCTGGAGAGGAAAGGAGTGGAATAGATTGTGAATGAACAGTTTTCATTGCAGGAAACCACAAATGTGCACTGGTGGCCCAAGCTTCTGTCTCTATCTTAGCACACAGTCTTAATTCTTGGCCCTCCAGATACCAGTTGACATCCTCACCACTGCTGTCCATAAATTCGACTTAACTGCAAGCCTGCATCCCACTCCCATGGGGGCCATACAACATTTCTCAGAATGCTTCAGCTCAGAATGACCAGAGGCATTCACATTTATTGCTGATGTTCCAAAATTACAATGCATTGTTCCAATAAAGAAAATTGGAGTCAGGAGGACCTGTGTTTAAATATGGCCTCAGACACTTGACACTAAATGTGTGACCCTGAGCAAGTCACCTAAGCCCAATTGCCTCTCCAAAAAAAAAAAAAGGAAAAGAAAAGACAATTCATGTTAAGGATATAAGATTTTGGAGCTGAACCTTTCAAGCTGGGCTTAAGAACCAGCATGGTCTAGTGGACAGAGAACTAGCCTAGAGGTCACTGAGAAGTCCTGCTTCTGGCACAAATTGAAAGTATGATCCTGGACAAGTCCACCTCACTGCTCTGGGCAGCTCCTTTAAACAATAATATGCAGTGAGGGTTGCACCCTTCATCGGTTGAAGCAGTTTCTTCATCTCTGCCAATGGAATCCCATGTCCAGCTCCTAGCCATACAACTAAACCTTTCATGGTATTTGGTCCAACCCCTTAGTTTTACAGATGAATAAACTGAGACCTGGAGAGGTGAAATGACTGATGTCCAAGGTCTCATAGGTCATAGGATCATAGTTTTCATGCCAGTAAGTATCTCTGTGGTTCAATCTCCATCGTTTTACAAAAAACAGGTGGAAAAAAAAGGAAGTGACTTACCCAAGGTTATAAGTATCTGAGTCAAGATTTAAATCCAGGTCTTTTGGGACCTGGGTTTAAATATCACCAAGGGTCTTTCCACTATAATCTCCTACCCTCTGCTCTGCCCCCAAACTTCATGTGTCTCCAAGATCATCCTGGTCTCCTGGATAGACTCAGTGTGAAGCAAATTCCCAAGGCTGTAATAAACATATTACTTCAAAGGGAAAAAAATGTTCACTTTTGGTCAGGTTTTCCAAAAGTTGGCCTCTATGAGTTTAAGTGCATTATCAGTGAAATTTGTGAAGTCTGTTTCTGGATCCTACACTTCTCAGAGTCTCATCACCCTCTCTAGCTCCTGGGATCCTTCCTTCTCCACTCTTATCATATGGAACAAACTCTTTGGCAGCTTGGGATCAGGGCCCACATTTAGTACTTTCCACACTCAATATTACTCAGCCTAGGCTACTTCTCTGCATGGAATGCCAAGACCATAGAAAATAAGGATTGCTTGATTTTTTTGTACATGCACTCTCATCATTTGTCAGAGTGCTTGACACATAATAGGTGCTTTATAAATGCTTGTTGGTTTATTGACTGATATAGCCATTGGGATATGGAGAGTAAACTGAATGGCTCCTTCTGCATAATCTTATTCCTGGAGAGTGATCTTCAAAATTCCCTGATTGGGCTATAGGATATTTTGCATTGAGGATGACAATTTTATTCTACTAAATATTCATTTCTGGCTCCCTGCCCCCTCCTCCTTTGGTCAGGTAATCATAAGAAAGAACTGGAAGAGGTCTGAGAAGCCACTAAGTTCAACCATCTCATTAAGTCCTAACAAGAATTTCTTGTCACTATAGCTCTAACCATGTCTTTCTTGCTCAAGAAGCTTCCTTATTGTTTCCAGGACAAAATCAAATTCCAGGAAACTGTGCCCTAGACAGTATATGTATGACTGTCAGTAAAACACAATGAATCACAGAAGTGGCCCAGATAAACCTTCATAGCTACCGTGGCCTCAGGACTGGTGGTGATCTTCTTTCCGTCAGATGAGTAATATGTTTCTGTGTAGCGTGGAGATAGGAGGTCACTGAGAAGAAAAAGAAGTCAGCAGTGACTAATGATAGAGTCAAAACCAAGGTTAACTAGGGAAAAATCTGTCCCCTAACTTGTCTCTACGTAGTTTTCACAGAGTCACAGAACCTTAGAGTTTGATGAAAATCCAAAGGTCACCTAGTCTAGTCTTCACCCAAAGCAAGAATTCTTACTTCTGTCCAGCACAGAATTGAGTAAAAGTTCCAGACTTCAAATTATATCCCTCCATTTACAAGTCACTATTTTCTCTGAATCTTAGGACCCTCCATCCATAAAATGAGGGAGTAGAACTCTTAGGTCTTTTTCAGCTCGGAATTTCTATTCCCTAGAGATGCTAAATCTTGCTAATATTCTCTCTGTAATCTCTCTTCCCTATGCTTCTTTTCACTCTATCCACAGCTACTGACTTCCTCATTTCTTTTCAACTGAATTATTTTAACAGCCTCCTCCTAACTGATTTCCCTGTTTCCAGTTTCTTCCTTCTCTTATGAATCATCCATACAGTTGTTAAATTGATATTACTAAAGCACAGATCCAACCAAGCCTAGCTCATTATCAAAAAGTTTTATTAGATTTTTATTTCCTTGAGGATAAAATACAACCTCCTCTGTCAGGTATTGAAAAGGCCTTAACAATCTGGCTACAACTGATCTTCTAGACTGGCTTCACATTGCTTCCTTTAATGTACTGGATTGCTTACTGTTGTCCATATGTGACTATATCCTGCCTCCTTCTCCCTCCATGACTTTGCAAAGGTTGTACAAGTCAGCCTTGCCTAGAATGCACACTCTCCTGGCTTTCGTCTCTTGGAGACCCCAGTTCCCTCCAATACATTGCTCAGGGGTAATCTTCTATAGGAGGACTTGTAGGATCCTCTGAGTTGTTACTCATCGCCCAGCCAAAGAAAGATCCCACTTTTCTTTCTGATTCTTCCTATTAAAGGCTATTATTTTATAGACAAAGAAACCCAGTTGGCTCCAAGCCAAAACTACCCTTTTCCCAACCACCTCAAAGACAACTGAGGCTGGGAATGGACCCAATTACATCTGCTCACTATTCCTTTGTTCTGGTCACACAAAAACTTACTCAGATTCTCTGAAGTGGGCATCTGATTCCATTCTCCTCCTTTTGGGAATTCTTCTTCCCCCATTCCCACTTCTCTTCTCTTCCCTTTTCTTCAGAATTCATGTTATTTTCTTAAGTCCTAGGTTCCTTTTAATTCCAGACCCCAATCAAATATTCATAATAATTTTAATAATAGGAAATTGACTTTTGTATATTACTTCAAAGTTTACAAAACATATATTATCCTTTCTGAGCTTTACAACATGTCTTAGATATATCTATATCTATATCTATATCTGTATCTATATCTATATTTACTATTTTATGGACAAAGAAACTGAAAGTCAGAGAGGTTGGGACTTTCCCATTGTAAATGACAGAGACAAGATTTGAACCCAAATCTTCCTGACTCAAGTAAAATACCAGAACTTCCACTATGGGTATTCTTCTTTTCTACTACTCTAAAGCTGGTGGCTCTCCAGAGATCTCCAAGTCTTCATTTCTCCTTGGAAAAAGATCAATATGAAAAATAAAAGTGACAGTAGATTTGCCATTCATTCCACATTAGTTCCTCCACCTTCAGTTTGAAGGCATGTGTTCTGAAATCCAAAATGGATTTTAATACTTAAAAGAATCAAGTTGGATGACAAGACTCACCTGTTTTGGTGTAGTTGAAAAACCATGTTTTCCCCATTTAATGTAATTTGATATTGCACCTCAGGTTCATATTTTTCCTGGAAAAACAAAAAAGTCATTATCAGCAATCAAACCAAAAGCTTTCTTTTTAATCTTCTAGATTGATGAGTGAGACTCTAAGCTGGGGTAGACCTCAGAAAACAACTAGATCAAAAATTATCAACCCATTTTCGGGAAGGATTTATCATTTAATCAGCCTGACAAATCACCGGTGTGGAAACATCATCCCTCCTATGCAGAACATAACCCATCAATGACTTAGTACATAAGTCTTAGAGCAGGGCATCCACAGATGGGTTCTGTAAACTTGGATGGAAAAGTGAATGCTTGTTGACTGATTGAAAACTGCATTTAAATATAATTGGTATGGTAAGAGATTTCTCAGTATTGTCTCCATTTCATTAAGACTTCTGGCCATATCAACTTGCTGGTCAGTGAAATCAATCTGAGATATTAATTCCAGTCCTGGTGCTATCTTGATCTGTCTGTTTGCAAAATTCCAGCTTGAGATATCAGCTTTACCTCTGGTGTTAGCTGGCCGGTTTATTATTTTACCTCATGTAGATATCCTCCTTCTGTTTTCAGTTCTTTGATGTGTAAATCTTTCCCTTTCCCTTTGCCTTCAGTAAAAATTCCAGTTGTATCCATCCTGCATTGTCTTATATAAGAGTTCTAAAAATGACTCATAGCCCATTGTTTTTTTGTGCCCCACAGGACTGTGCTCTAAGCATAAAATGAACTATTAAAATGTCTCCCTGTGTTGATAAGTATGACTGTCAGTGATATCTAGCAACTAATCACTGTGTTTTTATAGCATTGATTTCCTTTAAGATTCCATATATTTTATTTTATGCATTCAAAAACATTGTGAGTAGGGGGTCTGTAGTCTTCACCAATTGTCAAAGGGGTCTATATAAGATAAAGGTTACAAGCCCCTCTGCTAGGGCATTTTCCGAGAGCTTAAATGACTTGACCATAGTCAATTGAATAATATGTGTCAGAAGTGGGATTTGAACCCAGATCTTCTTGGCCTTCCCAACAATATATTGTCTATCACAAGGCACCTCCATGACTCTTATTTCAACCTACGAATTTTATGTTTTTAAGTAGACTGGGAATGGAATTCAAAGAATTCAAATGAAGTACATTTATGGAGTTTGGATAGAACCAAATGCAAAAGATTAAAGCTAATTGTATATCCTTTGAAGAATGAGTGACTAAACATGGGGGTGGTACCTTGCACAGCTCTAGACATATGATTGCTGCTCAGGGAAAGTGTGTTATAACGTAGCAGTCTATTATTCACTTGGGCAAAGCCTCATGGGTTGACCCATGCAATTAGGTACCACCATTCATGCTGAGGCACCTATCCCAAATGAAGACATAACACATCAAAGGAGGTAAAGACTTCCTAAGAAGGTCAGGGACCTTTTGTGGAGGAGTAGATTAGAGTATTGGACATGTAAGTCAGGAAGACCTGAGTTCTAATCTTTTCTCAACTTCATAACTATGTGACCCTGGGAAACTTACTTAACCTCTCTTAGTCTTATTTTCCTCATCTGTAAAATGGAGAAAATGGTAGCACCTATCTCAGAGGCCTGCTGGGAGCACAAAATGAGACAGCAAATGTAAAACAGTTTGAAAAGTTTGACAAACTAGATCAATGCAAGGCATTGTTATTAGCCATTTTATGGAAGTTGCTCACTATATGAGTGTGGGGTCCAGTGAGATCAGGCAGCACAAATGGAATGGGTATTTGGGCTCAGGGATCTAGCTGTGAGATTTTACCCATTCCAGAAAATTTGATTTGGGAGGAGCAATGTTTTCCAGTTTTCAGGCTGAGATGACTACACCACAGAGGCATCCCCAGTGATTACCTCGTTGTCATAAGGCTCCATTGGGCTCTCTTGGATCTGTCTTTTTTGCATGACATGTAGTTTTTGAGGATAAACCACTTCATATTGTTTGAATTCCTGCGGTTCACTTACAGTCATTGCTAGAAAGGAAGGAGAGATATTGAGTTAAGGATGTGGTGACCAACTTCCTTCTGAAGAATGGAGAAACTGAGATACTTCATGATCTGAATAGCCCTTAAAAAATTACAGACATTTTCAGGTCCTTTATCTCATGTAATCCTTCCAGAGAATCTCAAAATTCCAAAACCTTATAATATAATCTTTACTGGCAATGTGGGCATGTTCAAGCAGCCTCCAAGATTTGATGACCTTTATAGATCAGAAATGCAAAGAGGTGAGGAATCTCTTAGCATTCTAGCAGGTCTAATCATTAAAGAATTCTTTTCCTTGGGTCTCAGTCTCTTCCTATCTTAGTAGTATGGTTTATCAGAATAATTGGGCTCAAAATCAATTCAAGTCACCTAGCACTTATCAAGTACCTACTATGAACCAGAGACTATAATAAATGCTGGAGCAAAAAACAAAGGTTCCCTATACTCCAAATTATCTATAACAGATTTTGAGTAGTATTAATTTTCACCTTTTATTATGTCTCTGCAGCATTTAACATTGTTGATCACCTTCTCCTGAATAACTGAATAACTAACTGTTTCACAAGTCTCTGCCCTGGCCTCTCTTCTTTCCTTCCTCCCTATTATCTCTTTTCGTGATTGCATTGGCTCCCACAAGGTTTGATGATCATCTCCATGCAGATGTTTCCGAGATCTGTCCCTAATCTCTCTCCTAAACTATAGTCACACATCACTAATTGTACCTAGGACATCTCAAACTCAACAGGCTCAAAACAAAACTCACTATTTTCCCCCAAATGTTCTCTTCTCCAACATGGTTCTCTGCAAATTTCTGACTCAAAGGCTTTGTGTCCTCCTTGAGTCCTCCCACACACTCCCCACATAGCCAATCTGTTGAGGAGTTTTGTCCTTTCTTCACAACAGCTCATGTAGAGGTCGTCCTCCTCTCCCTTACCCCTCAGTCACAACCCTGTTTTAAGCTTTCATTATTTCATTCCTGGGTGACTACAACATGCTGACAGCTTGTCTCTGCCACAGGTCTCTCCTTTGCTTGAATCCATCATCTACTCAGTTGCCAAAATGGTTTTTTCTCAAGTTTGAGCCCTATCATGTCACCCCACTTCTTGATGAGCTCCCCTAGTTTCTTAATATTTTTAGGATCATAAGTATAACTATTTCCTCTGTTTGACCTTTAAAGTTCTTTGTAACTTGGCCCCTGTTCTCTCTTAGTCTTCTAATGTGCTCTATGATACAGTTATATGACCTTCTTTCAGTCCCTCAAACCCAACTCTCCATGTCAAGCTACTGTGTCTGCACTGGCTCTCCTCCATGCCTGTAATGCTCCATTTCCTCACCTCTATCTCTTGTTTTACCTGAATTCCTTCAAGTCCTTATTGTTCAGTCATTTTCAGTCATGTATGACTCTTTGTGACCCCATCTGAAGTTTTCTTGGCAGATACTGGGGTGTTTTGCCATTTCCTTCTCCAGATTGTTTTGTAGATGAGGAAGCTGAGGTGAACAGGGTAAAATGACTTGGCCAGGGTCACACAGCTAGTATGTGCCTGATGCCATATTTGAACTCAGGTCTTCCTGACTCCAAGCCTGACATTCTATCCACTGTGCTACCTAGCTGCCCCATTCCTTTAAAACTCAAGTAAAAATCTGTCTTCTAAAGGAGGACTCTCCCAGCTGCCAATGGTTTCCCTTCTGAGATTACCTAACCTATTTATAAGCATCACCTCCATCTTTTTGTTCCATGTAGCTTCTCAATTCCAGCTGAAAACCTTTATTTTCTATCTTTTCTTGATGAACATGAAGAAAACTATACTTATCACACTCAAGTGGCATTCTGTTGTAATTGCAGAAAGATTCTGCAAGGTGATGTAGCTATTTAATGTTTTACTGGTAGAACTATTTGAATCTTGCCACTGGATGAGTGTTAGCAATTTGATACAATCTGTGAACGTCATGTGATTGATAAACATTTTTATTTGACTCTAATTTAATTTTATTCAGTAGAGATGAAGACGCATTTATTGCTAGAAGTCATGTAACTGAGGTAGCTAGGTGTCACAATGGTTAGAGCACTGGGTGTGGAGGTAGGAAGACCTGAGTTGAAATCTGGCCTCAGACACTTACTAGCTGCCTGACTCTGGGAAAGTCACTTACTTAATCTCTCAATGCCTTGGCTGCCTCAGCTACAAAATAATAAAAGCACAGTTGTAAGGATTAAATGAGATAATATTTACAAAATGTCTGGAACACAGTAGGTGCTTAATTAATGCTTGTTCCCTTCCCCTCCATCCCATTTATTTTGTATATATTTTCCATGTGGATATTTGTGTATAGACTATTTCACTTCCCTCTAGTAGATTACATTATTGTTCTTGTCATTTCTATCATTCTATCCATTGCTCCTAATCCTGATGTACCACCAGGCTGAGATATAATAGGAGAGAAAGAGCTCATGCCTCAGACTGGGCCTTACAAGTCAATAAAGGGTAAAAGAGTCAATAATTCCTGGGGAAATTCATTCCCAGAGTCATTCAATAGGCATTTGGTAATGCCTACTCTGTGTCAGGCCCCAGGAATACGAAGCCATAAAAACAAAAAACAGTCCTGACCTCCAAGGAACTTATGCTCTACTGCAGAGAGTGGGCAAGGTGTACCAAAATAAAGACAATATAATGTGCCTGAGGCTTTCCTGGAAACTTCTGAGGACACCAGGGACATAGTGACTCAACACTTGCTTCCCTGACTGCTTCTGATGTCTGCCTAGGGCCAAAGGTAAGTGGGAATGACAACAATAATCCTGAGTTTTTCCTTGGTAGCACCAGCCCTGGAACTTCCACTTTATCAGTACCTTCAGCCTCTGGGGCCATTGTGATTGGATGGTGGAGCTCCTCCTCCAACTTGCATTTAAGAAGGGCACCCAGGCCAGCAATCTCTCCATTTCCCACCTGGCTGCTCTCCTTTGGACTTCTCCAACATATCCCTCCCCTGAGTACCTTCCCACACTCTTGCTTTTCAGTTTCCTTGTGTGCACTGCCTTCCCCCATTAGGTTGTAAGCTCTCTGAGGGCAGTGTTTGGCATTGTACCTGGAATTCCTTTTATCTATATCAACTAAAAAGAGAGACTGTCTCCATGGGGCTCTCTCTTCCTTTGATCTCTCAGGGAACATCATGAAAGTCTAAGAGTTTGAGTGAAGAGTGGCAGAGAGGCCGGTCCTTCCCAGTAAGGCATCTTGTTGACTGTTGTCACCGGGTACCCAGAGTAAAGAGACTTCCTAAAGAAGTTTGTGTGTCCAGGCCCCTAACTGCCTTTTCTGTTCTCTCTTTCATTTTCTGAGTAGATGACTGACCATCGACCTTGGGGTGGGCATGTCCAACCTTGGAAGTGACTTTGTGAACAAAAGGTCTTTAGGTCTTGGCTCCTTATAATGAACTGAGTGGAAGGAGGGGCACAGTTTATTCATTGGAAACAAAGACCATCAGCAAAAGGGGGAGACAAATCCCTTGTCTGGCTTTCTGGAAGAGAAAGCTTTTGAAGGAGACAGAGCAAAACTGAGGAAAAATATGAAATGTCTCATTAGCAGACTTGCAAACCACTTCATGCTCTGATGCGTTTAAAGTATCAGCTTCCCTTCAGACTATTAGCTGTTACTGAGTCTGTTTATAACATCCTTTCAATGTACATTGTGAATATTTTATGTTTAGTATTTATTTTGTGTGTGTGGACTCTCCTCTTTGGGAAGACATAGACACGAACCCGAAACAAAAACAATAAAAATAAACAAAAATAAAACACCTAAGCTTTAAATATTTGCTACTGGTGGGATTTCATGGGGCAGAGTATGAGAAAAGGAAGCCTAGCCTTGCCTCTCCTGCCATCAAAGGCCAGGCTCCCTAGGAACAAACCTGCCCTGGACCATAGGCTTGAGGAGACCTTTAGGTAGAGGGAGTGAACATAGTGTCTCCCACACCCTTCAGTGAATTCCTATTAAATGTAAATTATAACATGATACAATATAATACAATGAAATATAATACAGTACAATATACCATACCATGATAATATATATAATATATAATAAATATAACATGACATAGCACAATATGATATAACATAATATAATTTATATAACACGATATAATACAACATAACAAAACATAACATTAATATGGTATGATATATGACATGATATGATATATGTTATGATATGATATGATATGTGATATAATATAATATGTACCACCACCATCCAGAACCTCCAATTCTTCTCCAGGCTAACCATCTTCAGATGCTTCAAGCAATCCTCATATAGCAAGGATTCAAGGACCTGTGAAATCATGATTGCCTTCTTCTCCTTGTTCTTTAGCTCATCTGTGCCTCCTACCCCCATCCCAAGAAACTAGGTGGCACAGTGTATAAAGTACAAGGCCTGGAGTCAGCAAGACTCATCTTCCTGAGTTCAAATCTGGCCTTAGACACTACTAGCTGTGTGACCCTGGGCAAGTCACTTCACCCTATTTGCCTCAGCTTCCTCACCTGTAAAATGAACTCGAGAAGGATCGAGCAAACCACCCCAATATTTCTGCCAAAAATAAAAACCCAAATTGAGTCACAAAGAGTTGGACATAACTGAACAACAAGGTTTTGTTTTGTTTTGCTTTGTTTTTCCCAAACTTTGGCACCAAGATCTGAACACAATACTCCACAAGATGTGTTCTGATCAGGACAGAGGACAGCTGGACAGATGCCTTTATATCCTGTCTCTTTTGATGCAGCCCAAGCTCCTATTAGTTTTTTTTTTCTTTTAACTACCACATCACACTACTGCCTCATATTTCATCCCACTAAAACTTTCAGATCTTTTTCAGAAAAACAAAAACTGCTGTCTCACTATGCTTCCCCCCATCTGTACTTGTGAAATTGATTCTTTGCAGCCATATGCAAAATTTTTTATTTGTCGTTATTAAAGTTCATCTTCTTATTTCCAGTCCAGGACATTTCCACCAAATAGGCTAGCCAACAATTGAGCAAGCAAGCTTACCTTGAGTCTGCACCACAAGCCCCAGTACAGAAAGCAGAAGGCCTAGAGACATGGTGGCTGAAGATGAGAAGGGGGGCCCCCTATCACAAATGTTGCAGCCTGGAGAGCACCCCTGCTTTATATCTTCCTAGCTTCTCCTTCTAAACTAAAAAGTTCAACTCAGGGTCTCCTCAGTTTTTAAATGCTGCAGAGTTTCGTAATGGAGCCCTTTAGCTGCCTGTAAACAACTGGGGTATCACTCTGAGTAACTTCCTGACACGAGACAGGACCACAGAGCTGGAGAGCTCCAGACAGAGCTCTTAATCCAATTCCTTGTTTGTTACAGAGTGGGAAACTGAGGCTAGAGGGGAGGAAATGATGGGGTTAACTTTAGGAAAACTAGGCTTCTTCTGACAATTACCAGATCACTGAGTCTCCCACACTCAGATATCTGTGGGTGACAGAGGGACCTTGCTCTCATCAGTTCTGCTGGTGTTCCTGAGAAGCTTTCTTCTTCCCTTCCGTGCCTCCCTCCCCTTACTGAAAACCAGGTGTCTGGGACCTCATTCTCTCAAGGCATTTTTTTCTATGATAACACAAGTATATTGAGCAGTTTCTGGGGGCTAAGCCCTGTGTTAGGTTCTGAGGTTCTTATTTTTATAAAAATAAAACAAACAGAAAAATAAAATGGAAACAATCTTTGCACTTCAGTAAAGTATATTCAGTCCAATTCAAACAAAAAAATGTAGTAAGTATTTACTGTATGAGCCACTGGGGATCCCTTTAGAAAAGGAAGGAAGGAAGGAAGGAAGGAGGGAGGGAAGTAAAAAAGGGAAGAAAGGTGGAAGGGAGAAAGAGGAAAAAAAAGGAAAAATCTGCTCTTCAGGAGTTTACATTAAAATAATAGAAAAAACAAACAGATTGATAAACGGGCAGATAGTATTTAAGTCTTGTTATATTGTTTTAATTTCCCAGTATATTGAGAGCTATCTCATATTACAATGATTTTCAAAGATATAGGGAAGAAAAAATATTTCAGCAAAAAATAATCAACATATCACTTAACTTCCTAAGTGCCCCAGGCAATTCTTTAAAACAGAAGTTCCCAAACTTATTTGACCTGCTGCCCCCTTTTAAAAAAAATACTCAGCACCCCTTCCCAAAAAAAAATCTACTTTCTTTAATCCTCTAGCATTTTTTAAAATTTGCATAATTTCAAATATATATGTATATATTTAAAGTGATGCATCTTAAATTTAATGATTTATTGTAAATTTGTAGCTTTTTCTTGCATTGAAATTTTAATGACACAATATTGCATCATGTAACCATATAGTCTTGTATTATAAACAAGTCATTACACGCACATATTCCTGCCAATGCATGCTGGACTTCCAACACTTGCTTGTTAAGACCTGTCAGTGGACTTAACCACTGATTGGTTATAACTTGCATTTTATGTGTTTATTTAGAAAATAATGTAATCACTATGACTTTAATGTTGTTATACAACAGATGAAACACATATGACCAGTTTTTCAAAATTTTCTTCTCTTCTCTCCTTATGTCTTCACTGCACCCTTATTTTTATTCAACCCCATCATTCCAGTGCCCCTACGGGGCAGTATTACACACCTTGGGAACTATAATTAATAAGTTGCAACTAAGGTGTAGATCTTCATTGGTAGAGAAAATTTCCTTATCCAGATTAGCATATCTATATCTATATGTGTCTGTATGTGTATTGTGTGTATGTACATATGACGATATGTGTGTATATTCATGGATACGTAATATTTATATGTGTATATATACACATATATGTATATGCATGTGTATATGGTGTATATGGATATGTATATGTATACCAAATAAATCACAGCTCTAGTCCCTCACCAGCCCTATGATGGCCGGTAAGCTTCAAGAGCCCTTCTAGTCAAGTGAGGAGGTGCATGTAGGAGTTAGTCTGACAAAGGATGTGGGGATCCATTATTTCCACTCAACCTCCCCGCCCTACTTTTTTTTTTTTAAAACAAGAGAGTTTCTCAAAGCTCTTCTCTTGGGCCAAGGCTGGCTACTAAAATTACAAAGCATTATTTCAGCTTTCTTTTTATTATTGCTTGTTCTAATCATATAGTACAAGTTGTTGAAAGTTGCTGTCCAGTTGTTTCATTCATGTCTCACTCTCTGTGACCCCATTTGGAATTTTGCTAAGAAGTAAAGATACTGGAGTCATTTGCCATTTCTCTCTCCTAACTGTTCTTAAGATCTTTAATGAATCACCTTGAATCCCTTGTTATATTTTTTTTTTTACTTAATTCTTTCTAATTGAAAAAAACCTGTATTTTCTTTCCCTTTCACTCCCAAACCCTCTCCTAACTGGGAAGGTGAAGTATCTTGAAAGAAAGGCACATAGTCCAGCCAAACAAATTTGTACGTTGGCCATGTCCAAAAAACATGTGCCTCATTCAGTATAGAGAGTCCATCACCCCTGTGGCAGTTGGGGGAATGGCATGTCTCATTGTATGTCCTCCTCCAGAGTTAACATTGATCCATGTTCTTGCCTTTCAGTATTGTTGTGTTTACAACATTGTTGTCACTGCACTAATTGTTCTCTTGGTTCTTATCATGTTACTCTGTATCAGCTCAAACAGCCTTCCCAGACTTTTCTGAAAATATCTTTTTCATCCTTTGTTATAAATAGATGTTACTCCATTACCCTCACATGCCATAAATTGTTTAGCCACTCCCCAACAAATGAACTCTCCATTTTATTGTACCTTGTATTGTATAATCTGTTATATGCCACACCAATGCCTGCCCCCAACACAAACACACATACAGATAGATATGCACATATAGACAAACATAGAGCATAAACTACTTGAAGGCAGGGCCTATTTTCTCCCTGCTTTGTTTCCTCAGCCTTGCAGGTAGTAACTTTCTAATAATTTTGTTTACTAAAAAGACAGAAAATCAAAGGTGGGAGACAGAATGCAGAGGCCAGGATGAATCAAACAGTTTGGCCATGAGACAGTCACTAGTCAGCAAGAATTTTACTAAGGGTTTACTACATGCCGGGTGCTGTGCTAAGCACTGGGGATACAAAAAAAGGAAAAACAGTCCCTACTTTCAAGAAGGTCACAGTCCAATGGAGGACACAACATAGAAACAAACATATTCACACTCATATACATTATAAATTGGAGATAATTTCAGAGGGAAGGCACCAGAAGAGATTGGGATGGGGAAAAGCCTCTTGTGAAAGGTGGGATTTGAGCTGAATCCTAAAGAAAGTCTGAGAAGCAGGAGGGATGAGGGAGGGAATTCTAGGCTTGGGGATCAGCTAGGGCAAAGGTATGGAATTGGGAGAGAGGGTATTGTGAAGATCAACAAAAAGGCCAGTACCTTTGGATTGTAGAGTTTAGGGTAGAAGAGGCCATTGGGAGAAAAAAAAATTTCATTTAAAAAACATTTAAAGGATTACATTCAGTTCTGGGTATCATATTTTAGGAAGGACACGGGTAAGCTGGGGAGAAGGCAGACGAGGACAACAAAGATAGCCAAGAGCTTAGAGTTGAGGCTGCATAGGGATGGTTGGAGATCATAGGAATGTTCTGCTGGAGAAGCAAAGGGGAGAGATGATGATTGCCATCTTTGAGTGTGTGACAGTCGGCCAGTGGAAAAGAGAGGAACTGATTCTGCTTGGCCTCAGAGGGCAGAAATAGGAAGCATGGCTATCCAAGTTTCAGAAAGGCAGATTGAGGCTTTCTCTAAGAAAATCTTCCCAGCAGATCTATCCCACTATGGAAGAGGCTGCTTCCAAAGCCAAGGCAAATCAAGGAGCATTTATTAATCACTTGCTGTTTGCCAGGGGCAAGCAGAGGTTTTGGAGGTTTTCAATTAGCATCTGCACAACTTGTCTGAGAGAGCTTTAGAGAAGATTCCAGTTCAGATACAGGTAGTATGAAATGGCATACTACTGTCCGTCCACATTGGCCACCCTTTAATTCCTCACACAGAAATCTCTGTCTCCCATCTCTATTTATTTACATTGACTGTCCCTCCATGCCTGGAACACTCTCCCTCTTCATCTATTCCCTTGGAATTTTTGGTGAAAAGTGCCACATTCTACAGGGGGCCTTTCCTGGTCCCCCAGCTACTGGCATCATTTGCTCCTAACGTTATCTCCCTTTTGTTTTGAACGTATTTTGTATGTTCATATTATATATTACCTAGGAGTTCTCTTGACCAAAAGTCACAGGTCCTGTCCTATCCCTGTTCCAACTGATTCCTTGAGCTCCTAAACTCCTTTCTCACTCTGAGATTCAGTGGTTCCATGAAATCTTAAATCATCTTGTGAGGCTCTGGAAAGCCCTCAGCAGACATCAGTTTATATGAATCCAAGTATGAGCACGAGAAGTGTGGCAATATTTGGGGAGAGCTCATTTGTTTCCTGATCCATCTGGAAGAAATAAGAAACAGTCAGAATGTAAATGTTCCATTGAATATACAAAAGAGCTACAAGAACTAAACTGAGGACTGGAATAGGGGTCATGAAATGACTGTAATCTCTGACCACAAATATTTTTACCCCTGCCAAGCCCTAAGCCTCCCTCTGCCCCAGGCAACCCGGGTCAACAAGAAGTGTACAAGTAGAGAAGAAATATTGCCACTTGGTCTTCTTGGAAAGTCAGCAGAGCAGCAGTATAGCCATTCCTGGCTAGGGAGATGTAAACATAGATAGGGATGGCAAATGTCAACTTCAGAGAGTCCCTGAAAGGGGCCAGATGGTGAGTGAAAAAATCAGCATCAGCAAAGATCAGCACAGGACAGTCAGGGTTCTCCCCCTATAGCAGAAAGGGAAAATGTAGATAATAAATTTTATTACAAGCACTGAGATGAGTTTGGGAGGAAGGCAAGACTTAAAACCTAGAAAAGGAAATGAGATGTGCAGAAATGGCTTTAATAGAAAATGCAATATTCAATAAATGCAAAATGGAACTTGTCAGCATCCACCAAAGCCCATCCCCCCCATTATCTCCCTGTTTTTGTGGGAGCAACACCACCCTTCCAAGAACTCAGGTTCACCGC